TCTCGACCACAATCATAATAAATGTTTGACAGGTGTGGCTACTTACCAACGATATTTGACCATCTTCACATTGTGGATAACATAAATACTCATTATTATTTCAACAACTACCTCAGGATTTCATTAATGAGACAAAGCAAAACTTCAAAGCAGAGCATCCCTCACAAGGAGTGGAGTTCATATATCTACCACAGACCATTCATTCCTAATAAAGTATAAGTCTGATACCATATTTACTACAGAGTATATGCATTCACACCAAATGATTATGCAAATAGAATGAACCACATTATCAAATATATATATGACATGTCATGCATTTCGATTATGAATGTGTTTTTACATAACCTATGTCGTATTCTAGCTTTTCCAGATGAGTGAGTGTTCATGTCATGTATATTCAACGGGAGATGCTATATGTGTGGAAAACGTTCTGTTGGCTTTGTATTGGATGCATGCTCGTGGTGTCATTATAACTATAATCACTTTTTATGCACGAGGCAAATAAACAAGAACAGAAAGATTGGGGAGTACTTATCAAAGATTGTGCAACATGGCTAGATGCATCTCCTATAATACCAAGAAAATCTAATCGGATTTTAAGACTAAGCAGAAAGTACTTCAATGCAGATATGACTGTAGGCATGTCTTTTGATTGGATGACTAGAGGCAACCTTAGCTAAGAATATGTAGCAGAAATCATGTCTACCATGCATGAGAAATGCATCTATGATTTTCACATGGATTCCTAAAAGACGTGATATGTTCAATGTATGGTTGTTTGAATGATGAATGACAATTATTAATTATATGAATATTATTTAAAGTAGTTTATAATATTATATGTATGTTGCATGCCACAAAAACAATTGTTAATATGCATATTATACATCCATGTGACAAATTCAGGAAATGTATTTGCGACCATTTCAAATATGAGGAGGCTGACTAAATCAACCGTAAAAGAGCAAACAAAGATCTAGCTAATCATGCTATGATGAAAACCACTTTGAATTTTGAGGTGAATTTTAAAAAAATAAAAGATAATTAGAGAGTTTTTTAATACATGTTAGTATATTGATAACCAAAAAAACTACTTGGACCAGTTATTTAGTTATGTGTAGATGGCAAAACATGCCCATATTAGATGTTGGACGGTCCATAAGGAATGAGCCATCAGTAAGATGGGGTCATAGGCAATGGGATGTCAAACCACGCAATTCCGAAGGCCATAGATTGGCTGGTAGGGAATCTGGCAAACCCATGCTAAGGCCCTAAAACCATACAGTCCCTAAAACCACAGTAGTACAGTTTAGACTTGACCAGATATCATATTTCAAAAAATTTATATGTTTGAGCTACAAACATTCGTTAGAAGTTCAATTAATCCACCGTACTAGGCAATTGTGACACCCCCAAATTTTCCACCCAAAATAATACTTTGAAATAGAGATGAACTTTTATTTAATGATTAAAACTTCAAAAGTTGCAGCGGAAATTAATAAAAAACTAAGTAAAAGGGGCATGTCACCGCCACATCCAACCCGTGAATGATTGGATGCTAAGGCTATCTACCAAAACACGAGTTTAACAAAAATCAAGATGTTCGAATCATAAGTAAATATTAAAGTTTATTTCTAGTGAACTACATAGTTGTCTTCTAATTCGCGCTCTCAAACATTGCAGCATCAAAATCAACATGATCACCTCCTGTTAAATACGAGCACAAGAAAAATAAAAGAAAACAACCATTAGCAATAATGCTAAGTAAGTTCCACCTAACCTTTTAAAATAATAATAAATAATATATATAAAATTCGTACAACCTCATAAAATATTTTTCAACACTTTATAAACCATAAATCATAAGTAAGTTAATTATGTGATTGGGATTTTATATAGATATCGTTTACTTATGATTTATATAGATGAAGTTTATAAAGTGTTGAAAAATATTTTATGAGGTTGTACGAATTTTATATATATTATTTATTATTATTTTAAAAGGTTAGGTGGAACTTACTTAGCATTATTGCTAATGGTTGTTTTCTTTTATTTTTCTTGTGCTCGTATTTAACAGGAGGTGATCATGTTGATTTTGATGCTGCAATGTTTGAGAGCGCGAATTAGAAGACAACTATGTAGTTCACTAGAAATAAATTTTAATATTTACTTATGATTCGAACATCTTGATTTTTGTTAAACTCGTGTTTTGGTAGATAGCCTTAGCATCCAATCATTCACGGGTTGGATGTGGCGGTGACATGCCCCTTTTACTTAGTTTTTTATTAATTTCCGCTGCAACTTTTGAAGTTTTAATCATTAAATAAAAGTTCATCTCTATTTCAAAGTATTATTTTGGGTGGAAAATTTGGGGGTGTCACAAGGTGGTATCAGAGCAACCCTGCGACAGTGTGTTGACCCGTTGGATATCGGGCAGGGCACTTAGCGGGGCAAGATTCTGGGGTTCGATTGAGATTGTTAAGGGCGCAACGAGGACATTGCTATCCTAAGTGGGGGTGATTGTAATACCCGAGATTAATTTAAGAGGATTAATAGTACTACTCATACCAACAGAGGTGCATCTCCTTTTAAGGGAGCTATCACCCAAGAACTCCAAAGTTAAGCGTGCTTGCACGAGAGTAGTCTTGGGATGGGTGACCCCCTGAGAAGTTTCTCAGGGCGCGCATGAGTGAGGACAAAGTGCGCGGTAAAGGCTCGTGGTGGTTTGTGGGGACAGTACTAGAGGTCTAGAGTAACTACCTCGGGTCCGTGTGGGGCCCCGGGGTGTTACAGCAATGAGCCGGCCTCTCAAACCACGCAGATCTGAAGGCCATTAAATGGTTGGCAAGGAATTTTGCAAGCCGAAGCTCAAGGCCCAATTTCGATTGTATGGAATCTTAGGCAGAGTAGAAGTAAAAACACACGCAATTTAGAAGTAAAAATTACACACATATTATATCAACATAACAAATGCTGTATATATGATATTATAACGTGTACGAACCACGACTTATAAAAAATCGAAATCAAATATCGAGACATGTACGCATCATAAATGCATGGATCTAGGCAGATCTAAATGCAACGAATGATACATGTCAAATATTTATACATGTTTAAACAAAAAAATTAAGGATCTAAACAGATCTAGAGCTATCAATACATGTACGCATCACAAATGCATAGATCTAGACAGATCTTAACGCAACAAATGCTACATATATGATATTATAACATGGATGAACCACTATTTTACCTAGACAATTCTAAATGCAAAAAACAAGACTGATATCACATATTGAGACATGTACGCATCACAAATGCATGGATGTAGACAGATCTAAACGCAACAACTGATACATGTAAGATATTTAGACATGTTCAAACAAAAAATTTATGGATCTAATTAGATCTAGTACAGTCGTTCGATTCCCTCACACGTGAAAGAACACATCGTTCATCGGATGAATCATTGAGAATGTTTGGCAGATGATGTAGGAAGGTGAAACTTATGATGGTGGAAGAGAGTTGTGGTGTGTTCGGCGAATGAGAGTAGAGTAGAGAGGGAAGCATTTTTTCAGACGGCTATTAGGGAGAAGTGGGCGTATAAGGGGCTTTAGTGGGAGAGGAGATTATATATCAGGGTTTTGTACGTAGGTATTTAATACTTCGTATATACTGTAGTCAATACAATAGGTGGGTAAGTTGGACTGGGCTGAACGAAGTTGGACTGGGTTTGTTCCCTAAATGGGCTGGATTTTGTTCAAAAAATCTATAATGTGTTATCTATTTTAATTAATTTGGTGGTTGGTTGAAATGGGATGAAAATAACAAATTGATCTGGAATTTATCTAAATTTGAAGGGGTTGAATATCTGGGTTAATTATATTTGTAATTTACAAAAGAAATAATTTATATTATGTATAATGATAATAAACAAATGAATAAATTCATATACTACATTATCAGTAATGTGATTAAAATATTAGCGAAAAGATTAATCTTATTACGAACGGAATAAAAACACCACCTTTGTTTAGTCTTATATAAAAATTGCCTATTGTGTTGGAAAAAAGTAATTGACAATATCTTTGTGTTTAATTGCATTTGTGGATAGAAAATGTTGACCAGAATGTTATGAAATGTCTGTTGTCCAACCACCTCAATAAATGCTCAACTACCCACATTCAATTTATATATGATCATTTGATATTAGTGTAATACTCATTTTAAAATGTCATATTCATGGTGTATTTCAAAAGTATAATATTACGTTAAATTCACATATTGGATTGATACATGTTCATTGTAGATATTTTACAAAATGTGAAAAAAGAAAGTGCATTATAAAATATAAAGTCGATATCACGATGCTCATTATTAGACTCTCAATACTCAATAGAATAGATCTGATGCTTATTAAACATGCATTAATGGTGATATAGTGTAAGGTGGTTGTTTGGAACCGTTTTTGCTTCTGCCTCTTTTCTAAAGCAGAAACAGAACCAGTTTAATAAGCTGGTCCCCACATCTTTTAGAAAAAACTGATTTCAAGAGTAAATTAGAGCACCATAAGAAACAATTTTAAGAATCAGATCCAGATATCACTAATCTTGAAGTGAAATAGCAACAATAATAATTCAAAAATGATGTTTGTACACACTCTTATACACACTTTTGTACACACCTATGTCTGTGAAAGCTTTTTTTTGTCTGTAAACATTAATTTACAGACAATGTTTTGCACAAACAAAATATTGTCTGTGAACCGAATTCACAGACAAAAAAAGCTTCACAAACATGTGTATATAAGATGGTCCATGATAATTGTGGTATACGGACTCAAACATACACTGCTGATGTAATAACAACAATAATTGTGATACCGTTCATCGCGTACGATATGACGCCGGCGATGGAGATTCCGGCGAGTTTCTATATGTTCTTTGTTATCTTCTCCGTCTTTGCATTCGCTGGAATCTCAGCTCATGAGGATGAACAGAAAGATCCAACCATCAAGATCATGGAAGACTTCTCTGGGTACCCCATTCATGAGCCCAACTCAGTTTCTTCTTTATCTGTGGACACTCACTCTCTGCAGAACCATGTACGTTTCTCCCTCCTCCAACCTCCTTCCTTTTGAAAATAACTTTATCTACTTTATACTCCGTATTATAAAGACTGAATCTTTACTACTTTTGACCTATTATCAAGTGTTTGTGAAATACGGAGTAAGAGTTTAACTCAACCAAGTTTGCGTTGTATGGCCAAAAGTAAAATAGGGAAAAGTGATTATCTTGGTTTGGTGTTCTATTGCACGCTTGATCATTAGTAATAGGGAAAATCGCACTTTTAGTCCCTGAAATAGTCTAACAATTGTCCAAATTGTTGTAAATGTTAGACCCATATTTCTAAGTTTGTAAATGTCACCCCTCAATCGTCCAAATTGTTGTAAATGTGGTCTTTTGAGGGGTGAAATGTACTCCTCGACCACATTTACAACAATTTGGACGATTGAAGGGTGACATTTACAAACTAGGGAACACGGGTCTTACATTTCAATATGGTGACTAATTCAGGGACTAAAAGTGCGGTTTTCTCTTAGTAATACTATTGTTAGCCCAATTTTACATACCTTAGAATGATAACATATGAAAAAGAACTAATAATGTTTATCTGATATAGAGAAGTGAAAGAAATATTAACTCAATAAAACAAATCTTTCTGAATGAAGAATAACAAGATATACCTTAAATATAAGGTCAAGTTGGCCCGCCCCCTCTCAGGTGTATGTGTGTTGCATGGGAGGGGAATAGGACATAAAGGTTTTTGTTGGGTTTGAGTTAACTATCATCCACTTCTGCAAAATAATGTAATTGCAGTGTTTTATAAGCCTTTTGTGTATGTGTATCATTATTTAGTTTGGAACAGAAGACAATTATATGAATGATGTAATTGTGATAAATTTTGTTAACATATGATACTTGTAGATTGATGAGCTATCAACTTTCTCAGATTCACCTGCACCTTCAGTAACTAGGGTCTTGTACAGCGAGAAGGATGTATCGGCAAGGAGGTAAATATCCAAACCCACCTTTCATCTCTTCTTTGTATCTTTTTTGGGTAAAAGGAAATACAAGCTCTATTATTTGTAATGTTTGCATTACTATGAGTTGTTTGTCTAGCAGTGCATTTTATGTATTTATGTGCATTTTATGATATTCTTCATTTAGATTGTTCATTTCATTCATATATCTAATTGGCGTAAGTACATTTATTCGTTTTAAATGCACAAGAATTTGCCAACATTCCTCTTTAACTTTGATAGAATTTGAAGTTTGAGCACAACAGTAAAGAAAATTATGCTGTTATATGAAGAATTTTATATTGTATTTCATCATAGAAGATGGATACATGTGAGGAATTACTTCTTTTGCTCTGTATGCATTTCTATACTTGATTAAGTTGAACTATCTTGTGAGGTTGTACATTTGATTGCTACTCTCTCTGTTTCACAATAACTTCCATTTGAAAATTACACACACGGATAAAAACCCATAAAATATCCTAGAGTTCTTGCTATAAACTTAAAAGGTGGTATGTTACTCAATCAACCCTTTTTTAGAATCTCTTCTTGGAACAACTAGAAATGACTTTAACTACAAATACATGTGAAGGAAAAAGGGAAAAATATGGAAAATAGGTATCATAAGCCCTCGCTGAGTCACTTATTATCTTGTTGCATTGTGCAGGTATGTGAAGAGTTTGATGAGACTTTCTGGTCTGTCTGTAAGGGAGGATGCAGTAGGCAACATTTTTGGCCGGTGGTAAGTTATAACTTTACTCAACCCTCTCCAAGAACCTTAGTATTATGAACCGTCTCCTAGATGGCTAGATTCCTTGGTATATGATCTTTTTTTGACATTTATGTTGTTAGTTGCAAATTTGAGTTCGCCTATATGATTAATAAATCATTTTTACTACTCCAGGAATGGCTATGAACATGAGCTGGCTCCAGTTGCAACAGGATCACACATTGATGCCATACCATACTCAGGGAAATATGATGGTGTGGTTGGTGTTTTAGGTGCAATTGAGGCATTTAATGCTTTGAACAGGTAAACCCTCAAAATTTCACCTTTCCATGTTTTTTATTACAGTTATGCACCTCTTACAATTTCTCAGATCTGGCTTCCGGCCCAAGAGGTCACTTGAAGTAATCATGTTCACCTCAGAAGAACCTACAAGGTTTGGGATCAGCTGCTTGGGAAGGTTAGAATCAGACTGTGATATGTGTTCATAGCCTCATAGGCAGTTTAGCACAACATAGTGTTTGTTTATAATACGGGTTTGGAGGGCTAGTCTATATTTTCATAAATATAATCTTTCTTAAAATGAATAAAAGGAGATTGAAATGCTATTAAACCATGACTCCACATGTTATGTGATTATGTCAATCTTTCAATATTTTTATAGAATCTGATGTGTGTATGTGTATATTACGAAGCATATATGAGTAATCTTCCGGTCAGGAATTTCCAGACCGGAGTGCCATCCAGCCTCCACCGTTTGGGGCGGTTCCCGGTGGTATTTTTTGCTGATTTTTTTGAGAATGTTCCTCACCAAGTCTAGTTTATCCACAAAAACTTTCAGCTAGAAATTGAACCGGGAAGGTAGTCAAATAATTTTTGAAGTTAACTGCACCAAAATCTACATATAAAATGCAGTTATCTTCAAAAGATTATTTGACTGCCTTCCCGATTGAATTATAAGCTGAATTTTGCTGTGGATAAACTAGACTTGATGACGAACATGCAGAAAAAATTTCAGCCAAAAATACCACCGGGAACCGCCCCAAACGGAGGCGGCCGGCCGGCGCTCCGGTCAGGAAATTCCTGACCTGAATATTTGTGTATTATATATATGGACTTAATCCTTCAAAACCCTTCGTTAAAACAAACCTTTAGTCATTCGGATATTTCTTTACAACATTGATGGTTGGAGATGAAGTGTCCATCCTGTTCTTGAAGTCTGTTATGCCTATGAAATTTGCAGCCGTTTAATGGCAGGGAGTGTGGAGCTTGAAGGACTTCTCAAGAAGGCAGCAGTGGATGGTCAGAATATTTCCTTCTCGGATGCAGCAAAGTCTGCAGGTTACGGAAATGCTCTGGACTTTTCCAGTGTATTGTTAAAGAAAGGAAGCTATTCTGCTTTTATAGAACTCCACATAGAGCAAGGTCCACTTCTAGAAGAGGAAGGTAAAACCTTTTTCCTTTTTATAAACTTTTGATTTTGCGAAAACCTTTTCTATTGATTTTATTGGGTGTAAGAAGTTACGGAAACAGTATAGATGTGCTTGGATCTCAAAAAATGGTAGGGGAAGGTTTATTTTTACTTCTGATTGGTTTACCCTGGAAAATCCAAAGGAAAACTAAATATGAAAATTTTCTCAATGTTTATACATACACTTGGTATTGCTTAGTCTTTATATAATAGACATATAAATGAAATGAGCTTCAACAAATTTCTAAAATAAATATATTGAGTAATAGCTTGTACCTCCCACACACATTTCTTTCATGGGAACTTCTCGATAATTTTTCTTTTCGGGGAACTTTATATTTTCTTTCCCCAGTGCTTTCCAAGATCCGAATGGGCCCTACAAGATTTGATCCTTTAGCTTCTTGACCTCATAATATTTCCATTTAGCTATACCTATTGGGGTTGTGACTGCCATTGCCGCTCCTGCAAGCATCAAGGTTGATTTTGAAGGCAATGGAGGCCATGCTGGAGCTGTCCTAATGCCAAATAGGTAATTGCTATTTGGGAAATGGTTGAATGGTTGACCTGCAAGCCTAGTGAATTGTATGTCTGGATCATAGGAAAAGCTAGGGAAGGAAGAAGAAAGATTACTTAAGGAATGTTATTTCCTTATGTTTTCGACTTTTAATTTTACCTGGCAAAGTGCTTAGAAAGTTGAATTAAAAAATGAGCAATGTTTGCCTAAAGTGTTTACATATGTTTAGATTTCTTAGTCTTTACTTGACTTTCAATCCGTTCCAATAAAGAGTCCTTAAGAAGTTGTTAATTTGGGCTTCGGGCAGATATGAAGCTCAAAGATAGGCATTCTAAGGTTTCCGTTACCTTCTTTTACCCTTAGGATCTGTTTGGAACTTGCAAAATGCTAGGGAAAAAGAAAATTGATTCAAAAATAGAGAGGAATTTGGCAAGAGAATGTGGGAGAACATTACAAAAACTACTGGAGATGCTCTAAATTTATTTTAGATATTTATTCAAACTCATTCTATTCAAATAGTCATATATAAGGATACAACAACAACAACAACAACAACAACATCCCAGCCTTAGTCCCAAAAGAGTTTAGGGTCGGCAGTCATAAACGGATAAGAAAACTAAGGGCCCGTTTACTTAGGTTTTTTTAATGTTTAGTCCAAAATGTATGAGTTTTTTTAATGTTTTGATCAACTTAGGTTTTCCATATTATTTTCACCTTTCCTACTACATATCGAGTTCCAAATTTAGCCTTAGAAGTTTATTTATAGTTCCGTTCAAGAATAATATGTAATCTATTGGTGCACAAATCCTTGAAACAGGAATGACGCTGGACTAGCTGCTGCTGAATTGGCATTAGCGGTGGAGAAACATGTATTGGAATCCGGATCAGTTGATACGGTTGGCACTGTTGGTAATTTTTTTCTTTTGTTTTCAGGACGCATGATATTATAATGTCAATTATTTGTTTAAAGTTAGTCATGAGTCTTTACACAGTAAGTTCATGCTTTTAATATGTCAAATTGGATAATTTGTTTGGGAATGGAAACTAGGGATTCTGAAGCTGCATCCAGGAGCAGTTAATAGCATCCCAAGCAGATCACATCTGGAAATAGGTATTCTCTTCATTATCATGACCAACACATTGGTCGTTGTTCAATTATTGGCTTCTCGTTTAATAAAGGTTAGAGGAGTGTCCTGCGCAGATAAGCTGACTCAAACCGACCCCTACTGAGCTGGCAGCTACATGTGAGTTGGCTTATCTGAGGTGGAAATTTATGTAAGAGTGTAGTCAGGACTCTGGAAAATGTATTTATAAAAAATTTGGATCGTAGGGCCCATTGACATAACTACTTTGTAGTTTGTACCCAATGTTATCCTCACGTTCACTGCCTGAGTGGAGAAGTGGACCCCACATTCCCTCGAAATCATGATCGGGACACTAACCTCACACTAAGGGTATTGGATTGATGGTTTTGGAGGGGAAAGTTTATTCTATATCTTGATAAATGGGTGGTTGAAATTTTATACAATCAATCTTTATAAAATCTCAAATTATGATACAAACAGAACACTCCAACGCATCTCCCTCCAAACAGGCTCTGAGGACAAAACCAGAAACACATGCGGCATGGGCGGAGGTAGGGGGGCCAACCAAGGCCCTGACCCACCTCAAATTTTAAAAATGCCCAAAATTTTAAGGTAAAAAATCCCGTGTAAAAATTTTTCCAAATATTTTTAGCTCCGCCCCTGACATGCAGGGTATAGGTCATCCATCCCTAGGAGCCGTCGCTTATTTAGTTATTTAACGTCAATTATTATAATTATTACTCCCTCCGTCCCGAAAAAGTTTGCCAAATTGACTTTTCTTGGTCAATGACAATCAACTTTGTGTAATGTAGTATTTTTTAATACGATATTATTTAGATTATGAAAATTATATCAAATTTTTCCTTATTCAAAATACTTTCATAAAAGTATAAAATTTATAAATTATATACAAATATAATAATTAAAATCATTGTCCAAAGTTTACCATCATTGACCAAGAAAAGCCAATATCACGAACCTCTTCGGGACGGAGGTAGTATTATGTTGTGAAATATCGAATATTTGACACTCAGACCTGCCGTAATCATATTACAATTTAAAACCAAGTCCCAAGAATCTCCTTTTTCAGAATATTAAGTTTCACATGCGTGCTGCAGATACACGTGATATTGATGAAAAGAGAAGAAACGAAGTTGTTGAGAAAATTCATCAATCTGCCTTGAGCATATCTGAAAAACGTAGAGTGAAGCTTTCAGAGTTCAAAATAGTGAACCAAGATCCACCTGCCATCTCTCATGAATCAATCACATCGGCTACAGAATCTGCTTGCCGGCACCTAAATTTAAACTACAAGAAAATGATTAGCCGAGCCTATCACGATTCATTATTCATGGCCAGGTATTCCAGGGGGCGTATATGCCATTATCACTTTAGAGCCATATTGGTAGGCCTCATTTTCATGTCTTATTTTTCCACCAAACAATAACTTATTCATTGTGTTGATTGAATCGGCCGAAAAGTGAAAGAAGTGCATATTTTTTTGCTTATATTGTTTAAGTTGATTGTTCTACCTTTCCTTTTAGACAGTTTCTTTAAATTATACCCTGTAAAAACATAATTCGTCCACATCTTTAGCAAATTCAGTCACTTCAGTCATTTTAAGTCTTACGTAACGGACTCATGTTACCTAGCAATCTTGAATTGAAATTGGAAGTATATTGAATAATCATGAAAAGAAAAAAATACCTTATTTTTATTTCTGAATCAGTTGAATTATACTTTATTGTTGCAGAGTATCTCCAATGGGCATGATATTCATACCGTGCTACAAAGGTATCCAATATCGATTTCCCTGGAAAACGCCTTCACTTTTCATTGGCACAACCATTATTGTAGGGTGTGTTTGGTTTGAAGGGAGGGAGGGGAGCCCCCATCAGATTGGGAGATAAATAGGAGTGGAAGGAAGGGAAAGGGAGGGGAGGAAGGAATAAATTATGACTCCATCCCATTAATATAGTACTAATTGAAAGCGACTCTGATTTTCATAACTATGTTTTTTTGTTGTTATAAAAGAAGCGTAAAATAAAATACTATACCGAACAGAAGTCTAGGTAGGGGTTAATTCGGGCCCATTCCTTGTTCAGTATATTTTTGTTGATGTAAGAAAAGTACATTCCATCTCAAATTTAGGTCTTAATCTCTTAGATAGCTGTCATACAATCATAGCTCAATTAGTCATATGACTCATGTCCAATACTCCAATTACAATTCTAATATTGTATGACTAACTTGCAGTCTTGCACACCTTAAAACATGAACAAAACAGCTCTACTGTCCATTGAACTGGGATGCACAACTGTTTCTCATTACTCCATATAAATATATAATGTGGTATATGACGTGCGGCATATGCATATGGCCTCTGCAGGTTACAGCCATAAACCCGAAGAGTTTTCGGCCATCGATGATATCACTAATGGTGTGAAAGTGTTAGCATTGACTCTTGCCAATTTGTCACTGTCTTGATGTCTGTGGCCTTCTGTACAATAATACTTATTCATGTTGTGGGAGTTTTCCTCACCCCAAATTCTCTTTTGTTATCTATCATTGCTATTGTGATAAGGGGGAAGTTATGGGAGCTAGTTTGCTAATTGTCACATGCTTTCTCAATTTATTCACTGTACTACTCTCTTCTCTTGAAATAATGTACACATTTTTGATTTCCTTATTAAGAATATAATACTCTGTATTTGTTTGCGGTTATAATAATTTTCACTTTTTGAGTTTTCGTAAATTAGTACATGTAAAAAGAAGCGTGTATACGTCTAGCGTATAAAAACCGGAGTGTGTACGCGTTGAGTTTTCGTAAATTAGTACCTTCCGCGGGCCATCCTCTAGCAAACTGTGGTACTTATAAAAACCGAAAAAATAGATTGAAATTGAAGAAGTGACTTGGTAGAGAGTGTGTATATCATATATCTAGTTGTACAGTGTAAATCGTACAATTGGTAACATTTTTTAAATTTTAGTTAAATATTGAACATTAATATTGAGCATCATACATATTTGGTTGAGTATTAGAAGTCTAATATTGGACATCATGATCTCTGTTTCACATCTTCTAATTAACTTTTTTTTTCTTTTCTTTTTCTTTTTTTATACTACGTAGTTTTTTTTAAATATATCTGTGATCTGCTATGAATTCCATTATGTGTTTCTAATTTAATATTATACCTTTGAAATATGCATCGATATGAAAAACGTAAATTACACTAGTTGAACATCAATACATTTTACTTAAGCATCAAGCCTCCTCTATTTAATATTGAAACTCTGTAACTGAGTATAAAAATTTCAAAATCTATTGAATATCAAAGCATTTTTATTTAATATCATGTTCTCTACTATTGAACATTGAGACTATGTAATCAAATATCTTCATTGAGCATTGGACTATACAAAACAATAATTTTGGGAAATAATGGCTTACCCTATTGGGTGCCGTGAGATTATATTTATACTAAACTCAGTGTAGGAAATTACATAGTAATGCTTATATAATTACATTATTACACCCTCTCAATCTGTGCAGGGGATACAACGCGCAGATTGGAACGTAAAAATTCAAAAGGCTGACTAGATAAATTTTTAGTAAAAATGTCATCTAACTGCAACTGAGTAGGAATGTACTTCACTACAAGATCCCCATGAGCCACTCTCTCTCGAACAAAATGATAATCAATTTTGATGTGCTTGCTCCGATCATGCTGAATAGGATTAATAGCTAAGTATGAGGCAGAGACATTGTCACAATGAGGTTGCACTGGAGCCGAAATATAGATTCCCATATCAACTAATAGCGACCTGATAAAAAGTGTGTCCTGAACAGTATAAGCAATGGCCCTGTATTCTGCTTCAGTGGAAGATTTGGACATCGTGGACTGCTTTTTAGACCGCCAAGAGATGAGATTGGATCCGAGAAAACATCATAACCAATAGTAGATCAAGAACTGTCGGGACAACCTGCCCAATCTGCATCAGAATAAGCCATAATAACAGAAATATTTCTGTGAGATTTGAGCCATAGGCCGTGAGCTGATGTCCCTTGTAAGTACCTGTAAATTCTCTTAACAACCAATAAGTGAGTAGTACGAGGAGCATGCATAAACTGGGAAACCAGATGAACAACATATGTAATATCAGGTCTACTTATAATTAAATACTGAAGAGCACCTACCATACTGTGATACTCAGTAGCATCAAATAAAAGTTCCCCATCTGTGAGAGAAAGGGTGGTACGTGAGGGAAGATGAGTGCGAACAGGCTTAACTGTGCGAAGATGGAAGCGATGTAAAAGATCTGAAATGTATTTAGCCCGTGACAAAAATAAACCGTTTGGTGTGCGTTTGGCCTGAATGCCCAAGAAATAATGTACATCACCCAAATCTTTCATGGCAAACTGGAGAGATAGGGTATGAATCACAGACATAACAAACGAGGATGAAGACCCAGTAATGAGAATATCATCCACATATAGAAGAATATAAACAACCTGTGACCTAGAGCGATAAACAAAAATAGAAGAATCAGACTTGCTTTGTGTGAAATCCCGACTCAATAAAAAACCACTGAAACGATGAAACCAAGCTCTCGGAGCTTGTTTTAAACCATAAAGAGCTTTGCGTAAACGACACACATGATTAGGAAAAGACGGATGAATAAAACCTTGTGGTTGACGCATGTATACCTCTTCAGTTAAATAGTTATGTAAGAACGCATTTTTCACGTCAAGCTGTGTGACAGGCCACCCCAAAAAATAGCAACAGATAAAATGAGACGAACAGTAGTAGGTTTAACCACAGGACTAAATGTTTCGGTGAAATCAATGCCAGCCTGTTGTTTAAAACCCTGAGCAACTAAACGAGCTTTATGGCGCTCAAGAGATCCATCAGAATAATATTTTGTCTTATAAATCCACTTACAACCAATCACATTTTTAGTGTGGTCCCAAGGTACCAAATCCCAAGTCTTATTAGCAATTAAAGCATTAAACTCATCTACCATGGATGCCCGTCAAACCTCACTTTTATTTGCATGTGTAAAACAAGTTGGATCATCCGGGGGAGAAAAAACACTTAAATTAAAAATCTGTTTTGTTTTGAAAATACCATTCTTCGCACGTGTACGCATTGGATGGATATTAAGGGGAGGAACGGTGGACTGTGGAGAACTGGGCGTGGGTAACGAGCTGCCAAGCGAGGACGAGACAGCGCTGCCAGGCATGGACAACATGCTGCCAGGTGTGGATGGTGAGCTGAGGACGGATGTAGCCATGGGGGAGTCGGGTGGTGTGTTGGCAGCAGGATATAAGATGAGTGGGGAGGAGGAAAGTGGTGTTGGTGTGAGTGTGGCAGGTTGAGGAGAGGACGGTAAGAAGGAAGATGGAAGGGACAATGATGCTGGTCGGGTTGAGGTAGACAACCAGGAGGAGGATAAGTCGGAATGGGAGATTTGGGCGGTGGAAATTAAAGTGGAGAATGGAAAAACATTGTCATGAAAAGTGACATCCCGACTAATATAGACATGACTAGTGGAAGGTGAAAGACAACGGTAGCCCTTGTAATCCGGTGCATAGCCATGAAAACACAGTGAACAGAGCGGGGTGATAGCTTATTATGCGATGCAACAATAAAATTTGGAAAGCATGAACATTCAAAAACACGCATAAAATTATAATTTGGAGTTTTATTAAAAAGTTTCTCATATGGTGTAGCTTCATCTAAAATAGGTGTGGGAAGATGATAATAAAAGTAGCAGTGTAAAGTGCATCAACCCAGAATTTACTAGGAACAGAAGAATCAATGAGCATAGTCCTAGTTAATTCGAGAAGATGTTTGTGTTTCCGTTCCGCAACACCATTTTGAGCCGGAGTGCCAGGACAAGACTTTCTAAATAAAATTCCAAATTTTAAAAAATGCTCTCGAAAATTGGTATTGTCAAACTCACCACCGCCATCACTCTGAAAAACCTTTATTTTCAAGTTCAAAAGTTTTTTAGCTAATTTTTAAAAATTACAAAAATGTCCAAATACTTCAGACTTCCTGCGCATGGGATAAATCCAGGTATATCTAGAAAAATCATCAATAAAGGACACATAATATTTAAAACCAAGATTTGATAAAACTGGCGATTGCCAAACATGTGAGTGAATAAGTTGTAAAGGAGCAGTAGAGTCATGAGTAACACCACTGAAAGGAAGTCTGTGGGATTTACCCAACTTACAGAAAACGCAATCATGAACAAAAGAAGAAGAACTAGAAATTAATTTATGCTGCCTAAGTCTACCAAGAACTCTATCACCACAATGCCTCAAACGCTTGTGCCAAATCGGATCAGGAATCACACGGGTTTGAAGGGCATGGAAAGGGTAAACATGGTCTTTATAATGTGCCTGAAGTAGAAGCTCCCCCGTTTGATTGTCCTTAACAGAAAAAAAGTTTTTATCAAAAAGCACTTGACAGGCATTGTCCGCACACAATTTTTGAATATATAATAAATTATATTTAATATGTGGGACATGATAATCAGAATTAAGATTTAACGGGTAGGGTTGTAAACGAATCAAATAATTTGTGCTCGATTCGCGATTCGAATTCGGAAAAATCAAATACAAATAAGAATATTAAATTTGATTCGAGTTGTTATCAAATACAAATAAGAATATCAGTGTATTCGATTCGAATATTAATCAAATATATTCGATTAATAATAATGATAATATTAATGTCAATATTAATAATAATAATAATAATAGTGATAACACTATAATAACTTTTAAAAGATAACAATACCCTCATATATGCTTGATAAACAGAATTAAGATTTAACGGGTAGGGTTGTAAATGAATAAAAAAATTGATTTGTATCCATATATACACTTTTGCATTCAGATTCCAAGCTCATTTGTAATAAATCATAATATAAATATGAATACAAATCAATTTTTTGATTCAAATGTCTTTCAAATACAATACAAATAATTATGTATTCGATTTGAAGAATAAAATTGGAGTTATTTGACTTTGATATATACAATTATCAACTTATTTCACACATTGTAAGTATATATAATTTCTAATATGTGTGTGTTAGTGTATATTTCAAAAAATTTGAAATAGATTTATATTTATTAATCATAAAATTAATTCACTTTAGTATATTGTGTACCATCTAAAAATGCATTGATCCATTAAACTTAAATTCTAAAAACACACATTAAGTCATAACAAACATTTACAACATAAAAAACACGGAGTATAAGAAAAGGTTTTTTAGAGTGATATTTGACTAATATTTAATTTATACTCAAATCGATTCGATATTCGTATATGATTCGTTAATTATTCGTATTGTTAAACAAATACAAATACAAATCAAAATTAATATTCGTTTCATATTTGAATTCGAATTCGTATTCGAAAAAACTAAACAAATACAAAATCTCATTATTCGACTCGATTCGGTTCGTATACAACCCTATTAACGGGTGACCATGAGTAAGTAGCTTTAAGTGACCAATATGAGAAATATGCAATTTAGTACCATTAACAACACACACTTGATTCGGGCCAGTGTAGGGGGTTTTAGAAGAAAGAATACCTTCATGAGGAGTCATATGAGCAAAAGCTCCCGAGTCAGGATACCAGACTGAATCATTGTTTTCACCAGTAGGAATAGCAGCAAGAGCCGGGGTATGAGATGCTATGAAACGAGATCAATGTAATGCAGAGTGACCTGG